AGAGAGGGCGGGAGTCGGGGGAGGTTTGGTCGGGGAGGGATCACGACGAAGGGGGGGGTATGAATCGAGATTCGGGGGATGAGAGAAGGTCGGGATTGTGGGGAGGAGGGGGAGGCTGGGAAGCGAGATGGGGGGAGGGGGAAGGGGGTCGAGATAGCGAGTTTGCTATGGTTTTTTTTTTTTTTTTTTCCTCGCGCTTTGAGAAAACCTGTGACGAACCACTTTCTGTAACGCGCAATTTTCTACGCGGTTGCAATGAGGGGTCCTAAGCTGGGGAGATTGGGCCGATTACGGGAGATCGGGATCGGTGGAAAATTGCAGCAGTGTCCTCGCTTTTTCATCCTTTTTCGTCGTTTCTTTTTGGAATGGTCGGGCACAGGGTCAGGTGTGTCTTGGGACGGCCGGTTGATTGATTGGTCAGATGGTTGTCTGGCGCAACGCCACACGAGCGCGCGGTTAATAAATGTTTACGTCGTTTCTTTTGGTTCGGTTTTCGATCTTTTGGGCGCGGACATGGCGCAGGAAATTGCTTCGTTCTTTTTTAGAAATTCCTCTTGAATCTTTTTCGAATTTGAGCGAGCCCCCAATGGCTCTCGGCATTTCGGACTTTCCTTCTGGAATTCGGGCTTTTTGCTTTTTCACATTAGATAGGAATTTAGGAATTCATTAATTAGGATTTTTCCTGCAGCGCGGCGCCTTTTGTTTACGCGCTTCTTCATGCGGCTGCAACGGTACTCTGATTAGTGGGCGCCCTTAATCGTATGTGTAACTGTAATTTTGGGCGGGCGCCATTGCAACTCTATTTCTCTTCTTGCACTTCGTCTCTCCTGCCCTCCCTCTCTTTCTTTTGCTGAAATTTTGTAAGTCGCGGCTTGCATGCTCGGATCAATGCGTGGAGAAGGGCTACGTCCCCCACGCCGCGGCCGATCATGCAGAACGCAGGCGTTCCTTCTCTAATCCTCACTCTAAGTCTTGGTAATTCCGTGTTCTTCGCACATGCATGCACGCTATAAATTTCGGTTGCGCGATTAGTCAGCTCTCTTAACCCGTTGTTGGAAGCTCAGGGTTGCGCGATCAGGAAGGGTCGGCACACGAGCGAAGTAAGAGGTGAGTAGAGTAGGAGTTGGGCGACCCGACGGGCTGGTGCCGAACGCGCAGGATTGACGTGGGCCACGACGAACTGTGGGCACGGGCGAATCCGACGGGTGCGGGAGGACTAAGCGGGGTGACAACTTCATGGGTTGGTGCGTGACGACGGACTGTCCAAATCGGAGAGAGAGAGAGAGGAGGAGAGAGTTGAGGTTGATGGACGTGGATTTCCTGTTTCTTTGTCTCTTCCCCCTCTTCACCTGTGTACATACATTTTGATTACGGCTCCGGGCGGTTCGCCCGTTCTTATTTTCGTTTAGGCTTTCTGAAATCAGGGCTTGGGTTTTTGCTTACACTTGTCTTTGCTATGTCCGTCCCGATTGCATTATGTGTATGATTATCGAATATATGGATGCATGAGTGTGTGGATGTGTGGACGTTATGACTGCTTGTATATCTTTTTGCTAAGAACCCCTGTCCTTGCTTTTTGTTTGTAACAAATCTTTGCCCACACCTGATGCAGTTGAAGATGGGATAAGAATCTCGCCCCGATAGCGATTCTGTTCTCATTTTTGCTTGTCTCACGATGGAGTTGTGATATGGTTGCATCTTGCATAAACCGAAGCAATTAAATGATCCGAGGTCTGGCTCCGCGAACGCCGCGCGAGAACACATGTAAACGCGATCAGAGTCGCGCCCTTACACGCATTCCCGTACAGCGATTCGCCCAACCAAAAAGATTTGCGGCGGAACCGTGATCCCGTACGAGCACGCTGAGGCGTCACGGCATCTGCCAAACCTGCACGTGCTCGTGCGCGGTGACGATATCCCGACCCGAGCTATCCCATCGACGATGATACCATGACGCGATCTTGGAGCTCAGACTCGTCCTANCATCGACGATGATACCATGACGCGATCTTGGAGCTCAGACTCGTCCTACGACCCGGACTATTTCACCCCTATGATAAACGAGCTCATAAGGACGCAATACCCCTGTCACACGGAGAATCGGCTATGTCCGTGGGAATTCCACTACGTCACCTCTAGCGACCCTCGGTGCTCCGATTTCCCTTCTCCCGACCACACTTACTACTTCATCCACCCGGGATTTGTTGTCATCACCACCAGTTTCCCTCCTTTCCGCCTTTTTCTCCCGTATCATCAACTCAGTGTTGTTCCGTCGCCGGCCATAGCCCCCTATTGGCCCAATACGTTTTGCGTGAACTGCCGATGTAGTTGCGAACAAAGAGCTCGGAATTTCGAAGGCCCAACCCAGGTACGCGGCGGCCTGCGCCACGTGGCGGCCCCCGACGGCCCAACTTTTTGGGTCCATCTCCACCACAGAGGGATTTTTCCGTAACCCGTCGCCCGCAGTGTCCCGGCCCCTTCGGACTGTGAGACCCTTGCGCGCGCACCCCTGACTCGCCTGATTGCATTCATACCCTTAAAACTCCCCCACTTTCCCCAAAAATCCTTGGCACACCCCTTTTCACACTTCCCGGCCCACACTCCACTCCAATCAGGAAGTCGCGCTGGGGGTGAGGTTGGTATCGGAGCCCGACACGTGCCTAGGGTCTTAGGATTGATAGCACGTTAATTAGGCGACCTGGCTAACTGTGGGCGACCTCGCCCCCGAAACGCGCATAGACGCGACCCTATCGTCACCCGAAGCAGATCGGCTAACCGACAAGCAGCCAATATGGCTGTCAATGTGCAGAACCCGGTTCCGCAACAAAATGCTAACCTACCAAATCAACCTGCCCCACGTGCGCGAGCTCCCATGACACCACCTGATCTCTATTTGTTCGATCCCGCACCCTGTCTCGCAGGAGCATGGCTGGCCACACTTGGAGCCCAACAATACACCGACAACGAAGCACAGATCAACATTCCGGCTCGAATGGGAGGAGACGCCCATCATTGGTTTAGTACCTTTGTATGGGTGGATCTCCCGACCTTCGAACGGGACTTTATGAACCGATTCGATTATGTCCACCCTGAGCAAGCGTTGTACATGATCAAGGACAAAGTGCAAAAACCGCTTGAATCCGTCGCGGAATATCGAAACCGGTTCTACTGAATGTTCGTAAAAACTGAGCGAGGTGAGCAAGTAGGGAGAGATTTGTTCATTGACAGACTCCGCAGCCGGACAATAAGGGCTAAGTTGCGAAAGTAGTTTTCCCCCATCACCCATACGCTACAACAAATTATGGCTGCTGCGAAAGAAATGGAACGGAAGTTCGCGGCGAACTTCCTGGAAGGAGAAGATTACCCTAGAGACCGAGATTCGACTGAGCTCGCTCGTGCAAGAGCAGAGCTGGCTGCCTTATAGAACAAATTTGAAAACATGGGGTTTGTATCAGGACATGTCACCTTTATGGAACAGATAGGCCCCAAACGAGTAATCCTAAGTGAGACTCCGAGCATCTCTGCTCCTATCATGCCCCCGCCCGTCAGGGCATTACCCCCGCCGCCGGTTGAGGCTCCTGTACGATCAAACGAATCGGCGGCCATTTTCAAACTAACCAAAACCTTGATTAGCTTGATCCACGAAAGCAAAAAGGAGCAGCGAGAGCACAATGCTCGGCTGGAAGCCATGATGAGGAACATGCGGCCCATTGCGGTACGCGCCCCTCCAATGGAGCAGGGATTAGCCCCGGCACCTGCGCTTGGAGGAGTCGCAAACAATCTGAATGTCTGTTATGCCTGTCATCAGCCCGGACATCTAGCCCGTGATTGCCCCCACCGACCCCCACAACAGCAGATCGGAGTCGCACCTATGGCTGTGGCTCCCATCGCCAACGGCTTTGGGCGAGAAGGAGCCCTGATGGAACAAATAGAGGGTGGGGGAAGTGCCCTGGCTACCTCGGAAGAGGCCGCCGAACTAATCCCGCTAGACCAATACGTATCGCTAGGATATCCTGGGCTTGGAATGATCGGAAGAATCCGACCAGCACCTGAACCGAAAGAGGTGGCGGAGTGGCGACCGTCCCTAGGAGAAATGGAGTCGGGAGGACCCACCTTCGTCACAGGGGAGATCGATGTATTAAACATCATCCGAGCTTTGGACCATCGGATTCCCCTTCCGATTGGTCATCTACTCTCGATCTCCGAGCAAGCCAACGAGCGAATGTTACAGCATTGCAAAGCGAACCGAAAGCGATTCGCCCTTGCCCGAACCCCGAACGCGAAAGCCGAAAGCCCCGCGCCCAAAGAAAACCCCGCAAGTACTTTGGATCCGATACGGGTAGGTTTAATCCAGAAAGATGATCATTTCCTGCGGATTAAACCAATTTTGTGAAAATCCGCCGAGTGCGATATAGAAATTTGGGGAATTCCTTACAATGTCATTATAGTTTCGGGAGCAGCTATGTTGGCTATCTCACTGAGAGTGGTCGAAAGGGCAGGTAGGAAAAACGACTTGATCACGCTTTCTAAGAAAGATCAGCTCGTTTCGGCTGACGAAGAAAGAATTAAAACCGTGGGAAGAATGACCAATGTCGCTTTCCGATTGGGTAAAGTGCATGCGCTTGGGGATGTTGTAGTACTAGATGTCAATACGTACGACGTTTTCTTCGGACTCCCCGCTCTTGTGGCGTTACGAACACACCTGGACTTCAAACGACGATCGATCATCCTCTGAAATACAAGAGGAAAACCCTACGCTGTGCCCATGCGATTGACCCTTCGCACTACTATTAATGCGGTTCCGCGGGTTTCTCCAATGATGGCAGGGACTCTCCGCATGATCTCCTGGGAGAAATCTGCAGAAGCGAAGTCATCAACAGGTGATGCGGAAAGCAGTGACGAGGATGATCCGGAGATCTTGAAATCAGCACGACAACGTGTTTGTTACCCGCCGCCCAAAACGATAGCGAGAACGATGCAACTGACCAGCCGAAAAATTCAAAGGACCAAGGCGATGATCTTGGGCGAGCCCCTTGTGCAGATTTCGAGGATGGTCGATTCTTTGGAACCCCCTCAAATTGTGTACGAAGGGATCACCCCTCTTCTCGTCCGATACGGCGACAAGAAGCATTACTGTGACATTACGGATCTACCCAAGTCCTTACTAACCTCGGCTAAAGAAGTGAGATTGTTACGTTTGGGGGCGGAAGCAAGCTCTCTGGAACCCCTTGGGCGTTTTGAAGCAGAAACAGACGGACTGGGGATAAAGATCGCAACTAAGGAAGTGCCATGGCAATATGTTTGTGATGGGATTACCCCAGACGGACACGTGGCAATCCGAGAAGAAGATGCTCAGATGATGGCCACGGTGTTCTCCTGGCGATCGGATCATTCATTCATCTTGGCGCCTCCACCCGACTTGACAAAACAGGCGAACAGGAAACAGATTGACATTCGGATCTGGGACCAAATTTTTGAACTGCACGTTCCACAATATGTGCCGGATGAAATCCGTCGGGTAATTGCGGATATTTTAACGGAATATCAAGGAGCGATTAGTGTGTCAGACACTAACATTGGGTTGTCGTTAGTAATCCAACATGAAATTCAGACAGGAAATCACACCCCAATTCATTGCAAACCTTATCACTATTCCTTGATTGAATGCAAAAAGGCTCTCAAACGAATTCGGGAGTTCGAAGCCAGCGGCTGGATTGAACCCGCAACCGGACCTTGGTCCTTTCCCGTAGTGTTAGTTCCAAAGAAGAACGGAGCGATTCGCATTTGCATTGATTATCGCAAGCTGAATGAAATCACGATCAAAGATGTGTATCCCCTCCCCCTGATTGATGATCTGTTGGATGCGATTGGATGTGCTAATTAATTCAGCAAGTTTGATATTCGGCATGACTTCCATCATATTCTGGTAAGGGAAGAAGATCGGCCGAAAACGGCCTCTGTGTTGTTTGAGGGCACGTGGAAGTGGGTTCAGTGTCCGATGGGGATTTGCAATACGCTTGCCACGTTTCAGCGAGCGATGAACATGACGTTCCAGAACTTTGTGAGCAAGACACGGCTGACGCAAGGAATGACTAACTTCTGCGTGATCGTGTAAATGGACGACATCCTGGTCTATTCGTAAACCTATCACGAGCACGCGCAACACATCGAATGGACATTGGGAGCATTGAGAGACGCTGGGTTCAAGATTGCGCTTGAGAAGAGCGAATTTTTCCTCTCGGAAATTTCGTTCTTGGGCTATGTGGTGACACGTGGAGGATTGTGGCCAGACTCGAGAAAAGTTCCGGCGGTGAAGGAAGCTCCGGTTCCCACGTCACACACGCAGGTTCGAGGCTTCTTGGGACTAGCGTTGTACTACCGGCGATTTATCAAGGGCTTTGCCGCGATTGCATGACCACTTACGAATCTGCTACGGAAGGACCAGCCTCTCAGCTGGGACACGGAGTGCCAGAAGGCCTTTGCAACCCTCAAGGACGCTCTGGGAACGACCCCTATTTTGATTCGACCGGACCCCTCGAAGCAGTTCATTCTCATCACGGACTGGCAACCAGAAGTTTTTTCCGCTATTCTAGCGCAGAAGGGGAACGATGGTCACGAACACGTCATCGAGAATGCGTCACGAACCGTACCGGACGAGCGAAGAAACGACTCCCCACCTCAAGGTGAGTGTTATGCGGTAGTTTGGGGAATCCAACACTTCCATCCGTATCTCTACGGACAGAAGTTTCGCCTCGTAATGGAGCACGAGCCTCTGCTGGCGCTGAAGAAACTCACCAACTACACGGGCATGATTGGCCGTTGGGCGGTGCGACTACAAGAATACGACTTTGATATCGTCCATCGAAAGACAGAGCGACACGACAACGCGGACGGGCTGACACGTCTGCATCGGCCTTCCAAGGTACCAAAGGGCGAAGAAATTACACCGTGGAAAGAGTCGAACTTGACTAACGAGCCAAAGTACGCACAAGTGGCAGTTCTCCCACATGGCAAGAAGCAAAACGGTGGCGACGGGTGATGGAGGAAACCCCACTACCCCTCTTTCTCCCCCTTCCTCCTCGTCTCTCCTCTCCCTACCTGACAAATTTTGCTATTTTTGCGAAGCCATCTCCCGCGTTTATTCGGTCTCCATGCGTCCTAACGGGGTTGGATATGCGGATTGGATAGATTGCCGACAGTGTGTTGCACGGGCCCATGGCTCGTGCATCCAATACAGGAACGATAGTAAGCCATGGTTGTGCCCCTTGCGCCGAACCGACAAAATTCCGACCGAGGCTTGGTTTTTGGATGCCACGTCAGAAGGATTGGAAAAGACCCGAAAGTTTAGAAGGGCCGAAGTATGGACGGATATTGTCTTAATTGCCACCGTAGTAGGTAACCCCCTCCAGGATTTCACCAAGGAAGATCCGAGGAGGGCCAACGAAAGGGCTCGGGATTATCGATGGATAGAGGGTAGATTAGAAAAACGAAAAACGGACGGCAGTGAGATTTGGATAGTGGTGCCGCACCCGTTCATGCGGTATGACTGGGTTAAGACAGCCCACGAGGAAACTGCGGCTCATTTTGTTGTACGAATCACGGAGTCCGCAATCGATAAAAATAATTGGTACTGGTCCAATATCCGCGACGATGTGAAGTACATCGTCACCACCTGTCAAGTCTGCGCCGCTGATAAAGCGCCGATTCAGCCACCAAGGTCGATAGTGCCCACGGTTGTTGAACGACCATTCCAGAGAGTAAATATGGACACTACCGACATAGTGGTGCCCCCTGGCCCTAATAGTTGTAAATATATTCAGTCCTATTGGTATTTGTCGACCATTTCTCGAAATGGATCGAAGCGTATCCTTGTCGCACGCGGCAAGCCACGAAAATCGCACAATATGTCAACCGTTTCCTCGGGATGCATCAGGATACGGAAGAAATCCTGACCGACAACGGGGCGGAATTCAGGGGAGAAGTGTTAGGGAATCTGGTCCTACATGGCGTCGCCATACAGAACACCGCACCCCACATGTCACAATCCAATGGGCTGGTCGAAAACGCTAACCGGTTGATAAAGTCAGCGTTGCAACGAAACATCGCGGCACGAGATCCGAGACCCTGGCCCGATATCGTCGATCACATCCTGGCGGTCGATCGCGGAACGCCCCACGAATCGACGGGGCTAAGCCCCTTCCAATTAAGGACGAATAATGTCGCTTGCGTTTCGATACCTAGCCTCCCGGATGAGTCTACATTGAACCGACAGCCCATCAGGGCTACGGCTCGGGACAAGGCCAAACGACACCTAGAGTTAGTGGAACAATCGCTGTCTAGGCTAGCCCGAAAGCGACAGAAAATGCCCGAGCTAGCCCAGGTCCGACAGGTCCGGAGCTACAAGGCCCGAAATGGGAATGCGGGTCCGCGGCCCCAGTACGAATTGGGGGACGTGGTGCAGGTGAGCAAATGTGCTCGCCAGGGTAAGCTAGCGCCACGATTCTTCAGGCGATATTGCGTGATCGAGCTCGGCCCCAATGGCGTGGACACCGTGCGTCTCACCCCTGAAGTCTCTGGCAATCGATCGGCTCGTCTGATCACACGCCACGTGTCCTATCTTCGCCTCCTTCCCTCTGCTCCGCCACCCTCTCCCTCGATCTCTCTTTCTTAGGAAGCCGACGACGACGGCTTGGACTCTCCGCCATCTCCCTCCCTTTCTTGCTCCCTCTCTGCCACCCCGTCACCCCCGCCATTGCCATAATTTTCGCCATCGAGAGAGCTTTTAGTGATCAGTTGCTGATGCCACGGGGAGAGATCTCAGCCATCCGCCAAGTGCATCATCCGCGGATCAACCCCGACTTCATGCGCCTTGCGCAGTTCTTCTGCACTGCACGTGTATACGGCGCGGCAGAGTTCCATTTTCACGAGCAATCCCCAGGTAGTGGTGCTGGCCGAGGCAACGACGTTCCAACGCCGAGCGGCCCCGGGAATCAGCCACGTGTCTACCGTGGTAGTCTTCAGCGGCGACATCACCGCCTTCGATCCGGCGCGGCAAGCCGCCATCAAAAGCACCTTGTACCGGTGGGGTCGCGATCTGGCCACTGATTGGGATCGACGGCTCACAAGGCACGGTGACGAGTGCTATCCTGTCGACGGCATCGAAGTCAACACGCTGCGCACGACGCTACGCGAGCCACCTGTCGTCCTCCCAGAACTTGCTCCCTTCTAGCCACGCAGATGAGCCGCGCGCCGATCTCGACGTTCTCTCCTCCCTCTCTCTTCCCCATCTTCTGGCAGTCCTCTCACTACCCTCGTCTCTCCTTCCGTCTGGCGCCACTGACAGTACCCATCGTTGATCCGGATCGTTGGAGGCTGTGGCGTGCAGAATTTGTCGAGCTCTCGTTTTGCCTGCTACGAGTGGATCTGAACTGGACGTGGGAAGGCGATCAGAGGCCCGCGTCAGAGATTGTGGAGTTGCTCGTCATTCTGGCGTGGAGGACCAACATGGCGGAAGATCTTCTGGGATTCGTCTTTGGAGCAGTGGATCGGGGAAACAGATCACAGATCGTGCGCGAACTTACGATCGTGATCGAACTTACGATCGTGATCGCGCGATTGGCCGACGAACTCCCTCTCGACATCGTCTCTCAGAGCGACGAAGAACCCGTGCCACATACCCTCTCAAGGACTCTCGCCCCGAGCCTCCAGTGGTCGGCTTGTATCGAGGAGCACTGGGCGGACGACCGTTTYCCCTCCCGTAGCGAGTACCTGGACATCCACAGCCTGACTAATCCCCGCTTCTTTCGGCAACCAACGGCGTTCGAGTGGGCAGCGCTGAGAGCAGAAGAGGGGGCCGAAGAGGAATCGGAAGGAGAATTGAGGAGAGAGGCCGGGGAAGCAGCGGCCCGATTGGCCGAGGACGAGAAAGAAGAGCGCAAAGCAGAAGAAGAGTCGGCGGAAGCTGAAGAAGAAGAAGAAGAAGAAGCCGAGGAGGAGACTTTGGAGGAAGAGGAAGAGGCCTATAGCGAGTACAGCGAGGGCGAGCAAAGTGAGGAGGAGGACGAAGACGACGAAGAAGTGGAAAGTGGGGACGACCAGGAGCCAATGCACGACGAGCTCGAGTGGGTGCCAGGACCGGATCGGCGAGAGGAGAACCCAGAGGCTGCTGCGCAGCGCAAGAAAGAGATTGCGGAAGGAAAGCGGCTGGCGATCGATCCCGCACCGAACGATCCTTTCAAGGATCCCGAGCCACCCAAGCCGGAACATGGAGACCTTGCTGCCACGACCTCGGGAGTCGCGACGACAAGGCGCCGATCCCGATCCCGATCCACGTCCCCCTGCGCCTCCGCCCGTCCCCCAATTCGTCAACGTGTCAATGAGGGGATTAGCCCTTCGTCCCCGATCCATATACCACCATCCCCTTAGCTATCTCTCTTTCAATCAGTATTTCCATCGCGTCGTCTACCCCCGTAATCCCTTCCCCATCGCCACCTTTCGACATTTCTACTCTGCCCTCCTAGAACTGACTGTCCACCCCCACCCTTCCGTTCGGTGTGCTGTCCCCGACTACTCCCTCCACGTCCTGATCCTTAGCACCGCGTGGCGAGGGCGTAACCATATAGAGGTTTACTGCATCGTTACGGGGACCTTCCCCGCCTGTGAGAACCATGATCGGTTCCGCAAAGACGTCCTCCGAACCCTCGTATACCTTTACCCAGACTACCTCGCTTCCCTTCCCCGCAGCGGCCAGAGATTCCCCCGCTTCCATCGCATTGTCCGTTTTCAAGAACTTCCCTACGACCTCACTGCGATCGGGCGCTTCATACCCGAGCTTACGATGGAGCCGCCCCACCCTCCCTCATACGTGTATCGCCTTCCCTTCCCCCTTCCTTCCGGTTAATTATTGATGCAGCGGTAATGGACACGTGTCGCGGCGATGGCACGAGAGAGATCCCGTCCTTGGACCGTCGAGAGCCCAATCTGATGAATTAGTATAAGAGAAGAGTTGCCACGTTGGATGACGTCCACATGTAATCGAACAGTAAGTGGCATACAGAGAATCGCTCCACGTGTCGATCAATTAGAGAAATTGACACGTGTCAACAAGCAAGCAGGAGCTTCCAAATATTGGAACCCCTGGGTGTCACATATGTGACGAACCACTTTCTGTAACGCGCGATTTTCGGCGCGGTTGCAATGAGGGGTCCTAAGCTGGGGAGATTGGGCCGATTACGGGAGATCGGGATCGGTGGAAAATTGCATCACTGTCCTCGCTTTTTCATCCTTTTTCGTCGTTTATTTTTCGAATGGCCGGGCACGGGGTCAGGTGTGTCTTGGGACGACCGGTTAATTGATTGGTCGGATCGTTGTCTGGCGCGACGCCACACGAGCGCGCGGTTAATAAATGTTTACGTCGTTTCTTTTGGTTCGGTTTTCGATCTTTTGGGCGCGGACATCGCGCGGAAAATTGCTTCGTTCTTTTTTAGAAATTCCTCTTGAATCTTTTTCGAATTTGAGCGAGCCCCCAATGGCTATCGGCATTTCGGACTTTCCTTCTGGAATTCAGGCTTTTTTCTTTTTCACATTAGATAGGAATTTAGGAATTCATGAATTAGGATTTTTCCTGCAGCGCGGCGCCTTTTGTTTACGCGCTTCTTCATGCGGCTGCAACGGTACTCTGATTAGTGGGCGCCTTTAATCGTATGTGTAACTGTAATTTTGGGTGGGCGCCATTGCACATGTATTTCTCTTCTTGCACTTCGTCTCTCCCGCCCTCCCTCTCTTTCTTTTGCTGAAATTTTGTAAGTCACGGCTTGCACGCTCGGATCAATGCGTGGAGAAGGGCTACGTCCCCCACGCCGCGGCCGATCATGCAGAACGCAGGCGTTCCCTCTCTAATCCTCACTCTAAGTCCTGGTAATTCTGTGTTCTTCGCGCATGCATGCACGCTATAAATTTCGGTTTCGCGATTAGTCAGCTCTCTTAACCCGTTGTTGGAAGCTCAGGGTTGCGTGATCAGGAAGGGTCGGCACACGAGCGAAGTAAGAGGTGAGTAGAGTAGGAGTTGGGCGACCCGACTGGCTGGTGCCGAACGCGCAGGATTGACGTGGGCCACGACGGACTGTGGGCACGGGCGAAGCCGACGGGTGCGGGAGGACTAAGCGGGGTGACAACTTCGTGGGTTGGTGCGTGACGACGGACTGTCCGAATTGGAGAGAGAGAGAGAGGAGGAGAGAGTTGAGAATGATGAACATGGATTTACTGTTTCTTTGTCTCTTCTCCGTCTTCACCTGTGTACATACATTTTGATTACGGCTCCGGGCGGTTTGCCCGTTCTTATTTCCGTTTAGGCTTTATGAAATATGGGCTTGGGTTTTTACTCACACTTGTCTTTGCTATGTCCGTCCCGATTGCATTATGTGTATGATTATCGAATGTATGGATGTATGAATGTATGGATGTATGAATGTGTGGATGTGTGAATGTTATGACTGCTTGTATATCTTTTTGCTAAGAACCCTTGTCCTTGCTTTTTGTTTGTAACAAATCTTTGCCCACACCTGATGCAGTTGTGAATCCGATAAGCATCTCGCCCCGATAGCGATTCTATTCTCATTTTTTCTTGTCTCACGATGGAATTGTGATATGGTTGCATCTTGCATAATCCGAAGCAATTAAACGATCCAAAGTCTGGCTCCGCGAACGCCGCGCGAGAACACGTGTAAACGCGATCAGAGTCGCGCCCTTACACGCATTCCCGTACGGCGATTCGCCCACCCAAAAAGATTTGCGGCGGAACCGTCATCCCGTACGAGCACGCTGAGGCATCACGGCGTCTGCCTGTCCTGCACGTGCTCGTGCGCGGTGACGATATCCCGACCCGAGCTATCCCATCGACGATGATACCATGACGCGATCTTGGAGCTCAGACTCGTCCTA